GTTCCGGTGATTCGCGTGGAAATCGCAAGCGAAATCGAATTCACGGGCAGATTTACGAATGTTTGCCATGTTATGGATGGAACAAGTTCTCCGATTGGGGAGTTTCTACACACTCGCAAAGTCAGAATTCGTCCATTGGGTTCTTTGAATAATTATTTGAAAACAACGAATTTTTTACTTTCATAAATCTTGTTTGTGAGAGTTACCCTCGTGATTGACTTCTGTTCAGGATCGCAAAGGTATCCGATTTGGTATTCGCCCAGTACAAAGACGTGCTGTCTTTGAGGCGAACGCCCTTACTTTTGGCTCCTAGATAAGTCTGGTGGCAAAAGGCGTACCGGAAAATGAAACATCAGGATAACCCGGATGGGTATCGAGCCGGGATTCAATCCTTCGATTTCAAGTGTGGTAGCGTCGTTGCCACCACCTCCCCCCTTCCTTTTGCCGTATAACGCCATTACTCAGCATTACTGAGGAAATCTCCAAACTCTGCTTCAATATTCTACTCATTGCATGTCTAGAAGTACATGCATCAAGTAGTTATGATTATGATTTATTATTGGAAAGCAAAGAAAAGTTGAGTTGATAATAATAATATGGGAAGATCGATATCAGCTATATTGAAGTTAGTGAAGAGCAGCCGAATCATCGAAGAAGCATCACGACCTATAAAAACCAGACGTGAGATCCATTCGAGGCTTGAGAACGTTTTCAAAATGATATCAGGGTAGGCTGGCAACCTCTAGGGAAGAAGTACCATCGCGTCAGAATGATAATGGGAGCCTTTTAGGACCATGTGTGTGGACGAGATGGTTAAATGCGTTATATGAGGTAGTAGGCTGGTAGTAGTGTCTTGATGGGAATGCTGGGGCTGGTTACTTACTGCCGGGAAATAAATTCAGATGGTTTCAGTTTTAAGAAAGGAATTTGTAGACATGGCATAAGTAGCTCCCTGATGGGAGATTTCAGTTGTGGTCTAATGGAAGTCTGTTCTAACTTTCAGGTAAAATGACTCGAAATTCACTTATATCCACTGGCCATAGTACCAACAATTTTAGTCCTTAAGAGTTTCCATGGCAACATTGGGCACAAGGTCCCACAACTGATTTATTGGAGACATCCCACGACCGAATTATGACGATGCCCTTCTAAATCTAGAGCCTTCAGAGGCTTATTTCTAGTCGCAACATGGGGAAAGAACCGCTAGCCACCGTCATTCAGTAATTCGTCATCAGCTAACACTTCCTTTAGGCCAATTAACATACATACATACAGAATGTTCAGAATTGTTGACGTCATTGACCAAAACGAATTTGTTTGTTTGGGTTTGGACATCATTTGTGCCCAATGCGCTACAAATATCGTTAGGATAGACCAGAAATCACGCGACATCCGGCCGCTTATTTTTCGGGCCTCTGAATCGGTTATGAGGCTTTCATGGGGTCATACTTTGCTCTGAAGGAAATTCTCATATCAGCTCGGAATTTTGGTCTTCCGTGTACTAATTCCATTGAGGGCATGAAATTGCTTTGATCTGAGGAACGCTCTGCTCAAGCTTTTCGTAGTATCCAATAAAGGTCAGGGTGAGCCCAAAAGGAAGAACGACGGTTGGAGCAACTCGTTGCGAAGGACATCATGGGTCGAGTACTAGTATAACCTAACCTTCAAAGGAACCCAAAAAACCCAGAGCTCTAGTTCAGTACAGCCCTGTAGGCTCGAGCCGCTCTTGACTATGTCTTTTTTGGGAACTTGTCTTTCCCGGGCTGGAGCCTAAAGCACTCCACTGCCTTTATGTGAACCTTATATGGCTGTCGTGGCTTTCTCATGAAGGTGTTTTTTCTTGGCTACAAATTCGTGGTCATAAATTCGGAATGTGTCCTTGAAATTTTACAAGGCTGAATTCAGCTGATGGTTTCCCTGGATTCCTGACCTTCCCAAGGGATACCTCCCTAGTAGTACTACTAGTATCATGCTAAACGGGTACTCATTTACGTAAGTAATTCCCGACGAGCCTTTGTAATTACTCTGTAATTACCCATTTTAATTGGTGCCCACTCACTCGAAACGTTCAGCACGAGCTGATCATTATCTTGCGGAGAGCGGCAACGGTCTTTNTTTCGTTGAACTCAACAATCTCCAGGGTCAATTACTATGTGGGTGGCGGATTCCCACAAATGCCACCCAACTGTCACATACCTCCATGGGCAATAGGAATCGTGAAGGTCATGGGTTGTCATCTGGATGAAAATTTGAAAAGAGGAATTGGGTCGCAAAGGAAGTTTTTTTGGAGGTAGCGATGAAGTCTTTGGCGTAAATCCATTCCATTTTTGGGATGCGCCCCATATTCGACTTCTATTCGAAATCACAGTGCCGCTTTGGAGGCGGATATGGTCTATACAATGGCTTAGTGTGGCCAGCCGATGAGCAAGCCAGTGCTATGTAGTTCCTCCCAGATAGTTTGTCACCATTCCACCGGCCCCAAACGGATGGAAGGCCTGGTTGGCATGGGCGAATATCGATTCGAGATTCGGCCCCGGATCATGCGTATGTGATAGTTGCGCCAGTTGCCAACCACCAGTGATACATTATCTACAAATTAAAAATGGATTTATTGGTCCATTAAGTGGGTAGAAAGGAAGGGATTCATTCATCTCCATCTACTCCCTCGTATAGTCCAGGCACACATTGACATGCCTCTTTACGACTTAATGTAAGTTAATTTGTGGCAGGTTCTCAAGAGCCATCAGCGTCAGGCTCTTGATCAGCTACCTTTTTTATTCATTTTTTTTCTTTTTCCTTTCTCTCCACCTTTCTCCGTTCAAGTAGGGGCGCTGAGAATTTCCGAATTCTTTCAGACCGACTTCGGTGGATCTCCAGTGATCAACAACGATCACTGGCTGTATTGGGGTGATCGACAAATTAGCCTTGATGATTCCTCGAGTACGGTGACGATACGAGTAATCGAGCAGACAGGTAAGACCTTCTACTCCAAATAACTCATGGAATCATGGTCATATATGGGTCTCCACCGGTCTCTAGTGTTGACCTTTGGCATCATTAGCTAGAAGGAAGAGCCACATTCAGCAGAACTGGCACAACCTAATTGAGGCTAGCAATTCTTTTTACAGAGTTCCTGGATGATGAGACGTACGAACCGATTGCTGGACCTTCCACTTCGGAACCGTATGCAAAGCGATGTTGCCAGATTCGTCTTGAAAGCCGAGACAAGCTTATGTACATTCAAAAAGTAAGAAATTATTTCAGAGATCCTGCCAAGATTTCATCCCACCTTAGGAGCATTCTATGATTTATTTCGTGACCCACTCCCGTTTCCGAAGGCTACTAGGTCACCCCGTGCTACAAGCCTTCATATGTTTACTCCCAGATACTTCGCCAACTACTTGCGAAGTGGCTGCGAACCTACGAAACTCGTGTTTTATGGTCAGGGAAGGGTACAAAAACACAGAAATACATTACAGTACAAATAATAAAATAACAAATGTAAAAATTAAAAAAAATTATGTATGAATCGAGTTATTACCGTGGTGAACTAATTTGAGCTCTGTTAGCATGAGGTTTTCCTTCCATTCGACTTCTTCTCTTTGTTCTATTTCCTTTTTCTTCTATCCCTCTTGAAACCACCAATTTGTATTCCAACAGCGAAAAAGTTTGTTGCCCATGGAGGGACGGGATGCAAAACAAGCAAAAAGGTAAAAAGATTAGCCATGTTTGAATCCCATTCCACACCGGGGTCCCGATCAAAGGAGCGCAAGCCAAGGTCTCCAATTATTTACTATGGGAGATAGACTCCGTGAGGGTCATTCGGAATAAGTTAAAGAGTAAAGCTTGATCTTTCGTATCCTGAAAGTCTTCTTGTATTATGAACATATTCAAAGTACTCCTGGAATTCCGTCAAAGGGTTAGGGGCTCATGAACTCAGAAGATGATTAAGCACCTTTTAGGAGCAACTCGGTCTTGAGGCGGAATTCGATCAACAGGTGTTGCCAGACGGCAAATGCACTGTCGACGCGTTCATCTACGTATTCGATGCCAGCAGAACTGTTGGGCGAACATTTGAAAGGTTAGAAATTCGTCAACGTTTTTGTTGGGTTCCACAGTACAGTTTTTGCTTACTTTTGTCAATTTTTCTCGGAAAAAGGGAGGAGAGTTGGGGAGCGGGGCGAGGGGAGAGAAGGGAAAGAAGTTGGGCTAACTAGAGCATTTATAAATTCTCACCAATTTCTGGATCTTTGGGCAGTTTGGAAATTTCACTGGCGGATTCGAGCACAACTACTAGAAAGTCATGAAAATTAGAGCGATGCAGGGCTAATGTCCACCCAGTCAATGTATTTCCTCCCGTAAGAAGGTTGAGCATGAAATTGATGCTGAAGAGGTGGAGTAAGGTTGAGAAGTTGAGGATATCCCGAAGAAGTAGTATTCCGTGGGGATGTTTTGAAGTAGGGGAGTGTTCCAGTTGTCGTTCTCCTGAATTGTGGGCATAACTCTCACCTGGACGGGCTTCTAGAAGAACTTCAAAAGAAATTTTGATGATCGCGTTCATGCTTTTGTTTGTTTTCTCTGTTATCTGACCGACAGTTTCTTTCAAACGCTTCTCCTGGAGAAAGTGAGTTCTCCCATTCGGAAACCGGTGACTGTACAAACAGTTGGGGGTTGATCGTTTCCGTGTGCTTAAAGTGCACGTACGACTGTTGCAAGATGGCGCAGATAACAGCAATGCCGGTGCCGCTTTCTAAGTAAACAAAAACAGTATAACGTATGATTCGGCCGAGGTTTCTAGCCCAAACAGTTCTGAATCAACAAATGTTAGGGTTCCTTCCATAAACTCAAGCCCATATTGAGGAAG